AAGAGTGCTGACAGTTTGGAACCTCATTAGGCATGCTCAACAGTGTCTGGAAACCATGTCACCAACACCAGGCCCGGCCTGGGTGGTCCAGGTACTCATGATCTCTCCCTGCCACCTGGGAATGGACACACTCTGCTGTAGGTCCGTCCCGTCTACCACGGTCACATGTATCCAAGTGGCACATTAAACCATTTCCTGGAAAAGCAAATCCAACTGCTGTGGCATGTTTCGGGGTGGCTTCACTCTTACGTGGAGAAAAGGCCCACAAAGTTGTAACTTCTTGCCATAATTTCTGTTCCTCACAGTAACTTCCCCTCCCCTGGAATTCATACGTTTCTCCGCAAGGGAGAATGAACAAGCAGGGATTATGGCATGGCCATCCCCGTTGGGGGGGAGGGTGGTGCTTTCTCACCTCCCCTCTCACTCACTTTCCCTGTCTCTCCCTCAAGCACACATGAGCTATAGCAAAACAAAATAAAATACATTTTTTAAAAGCACAATGTTTCTGATACTGAAACTGTCACACCTACTTTTTATCAGCATTGCCTGGTACACGACCCCTCCTCCCTTTTAAAAATCATGTTGTTGGGACCAGCAGGTGGATGGTGGTTAAGGTGCCGGGCACTCCCACATGGTTGAACATGGTTTGAGTCCCAGACATGGTGTCTTGCTTTCTCACTTTCTCTCTTTCTCTGATCAAATTAAAATAAATGTATGAATAAAATTAAATAATTCGTTAAAAAACCATGTTGTTGTAGGTGTCTTCTGTAAACAGAGCCAGAGAGGGAGAAGGAGAAAGCACCCACAATGGGGTGTGGGCACGCCCAATCCCTCTCCTCCATTTCTCCATCCCATCATTTTGGGCACGTGCACGCACATACACCCAGCGTGGTTTTCAAGCTGCCAGGGCCCAGACTCAAACCACGCGGTTGGCTGTGTGGGATCTGGCTCCCTTCACTACCAGGCCACTGGGCTGACAACTAAAGTTGATCTTTCAAAAACCATTCTGGGGACCAGCAGGTGGCGTAATGATTGCGTCGCTGGACTCCCATCCAGCCCACCACGGTTGGAGTCCCTGACCTGGCTGCTTAAAACTCATGCTGGGTGGGGAACCAGCAGTTAGTGTAATGGCTATGTTGCTGGATTCCCACGTAGTCGACCGCGGTTCGCGTCCCGGACCCGGTGGCTTAGAACTCACGCCAGGCACGTGTGCGTGCGTGCCCAAGATCCCGAGAGGAGAATAGAGGAGAAGGGATTGCGGCGTGACCATCCTCCCTGGGGGGTGATTTCTCACTTTCTGTCTCTCTGTCTCTCTCTGTCTGTCTGGCGAGTGCACGCGCCCTATAGCGAAAACCTCTCAAAAAAAAAAAAAAAAACCAAAACAAAAAACAAAAAAAAACCCTCATGCTGGGTGCATGGGTGTGCATGCCCAAAATCCCAAGAGGGGAATGAAGAAGGGCCACAGAAGGGCCACAGTGTGGCCATGCTCCTGGGAGGTGATTTCTCGCTATCTGTCTGTCTCTCCAGCTAATTCATGTCCCTAAAGTGAAACTCTCTCTCTCTCTAAAATAAAACCAAAAAAAAACAAAAAACAAAAACAAAAAACAACGCAAGGGGCCAACAGATGGCATGGTGATTAGGGTGCTAGACTCCCATATGGCCTACTGTGATTTGAGTCCCAGACCTGGCAGCTTGGTTTCTCACTTTCCCTCCCTCTCTCTGTGTCTTTGTCTCCCTCTGGTGAATGTGTATCTCCTATGGCAAATTAAGAAAATAACAATAATTAATAAATAAAATAAATAACTCAAAAATTCTGAGATCCTCAATCTTTCTTTTTTTTAAAAAAAGAATGATTTATTTAATAGTTATTCATCATCATTATTATTTTTTCAATTTGACCACAGAGCAGGAGACAGAGAGAGAAAGCCAGAAAGCAAGCTGTCAAGTCCAGGACCAGAACCACGGCCAGCCGTGTGACATTCTGGTGCCTTAACCACTACGCCGCCTGCCAACCCGGTCCTCAGTCTTTCAACAGGGAGACTAACCATTATTTGTGTTGTGCTGAGACTTGCCCCTCCTGTTACATTTCCTATTTACTGTATTTTTCCCTCCTCTTTTAATGAGCTTTTAGTAGAACTGCCTTTTTAATTCTATTTTCCTACCTTCTAGGGGCTTGAAGATCTTACATCCCATCTCTGCTCTGTTTTTTTTTTTTACATTTTGCTATAGGGTACCTGTGCTCGCTGGAGAGAGGTGGAGACCGAGAGAGAGAGAAATTACTCCACGGGGGGATGGCCATGCCACAATCTCTCCTCCTCCATTCTCCTCTCAGACTTTTGGGCACACACCCAGCATGTTTTCAAGCCACCAGGTCCGAGACTTGAACAACTCAGTCAGCCATGTGGGATTGGCTGCCTGAACCACCATGCCACAGGCTGGCCCCCATCTCTAGTCTTCAAGTGTTTACCTTCACATTTAATACAGGTTTTTACACCTGTGTCTTTTGGTCAATGTCACAGTTCACTCAGGGATCACATTAGGGTCCCATACAGCAGAAAGTGAGGAGTGACAATGGAGCTCAGGGGATGTCCCTCCTTTCAAAAATTACGGCCTTGGAGCTAGCAGATGACACAACAGTTATGTCGCTGGACTCCAACATAGTCGGCTGTGGTTTGAGTCCCAGACCAGGCAGCTTAAAACTCGCCAGTCGCGTGTGCATGCGTGCCCAAGATCCCGAGAGGAGAATGGAGGAGAAGGGATTGCGGCGTGACCATCCCCCCTGGGGGATGATTTCTCGCTTTCTGTCTCTCTGTCTCTCTGGTGAACACACATGCCCTATAGCAAAATATCTCTCTCTAAAAAAAGACCAAAAAAAAGAAAAAGAAAAAAGAATTGCAGCCTTGGGGCAAGCAATGGTACAGCAGTTATGTCACTGGACTCCCATATAGCCAACTACAGGTCAATCCCAGACCTGGTGGCTTGAAAATCACTGTAGGCGCATGTGCGTGCATGCCCAAGATCTGGGAGGAGAATGCAGGGGAAGGGGTCGTGGTGTGGCCACCCCCCGGAGGGTGATTTCTCATTTTCCCGTTGGTTGTCTCTGTCTCTCTTTCTCTGGCGAGCACACGCACTAAGGCAAAAACCTCTGAAAAAAGCATCATGGCATATGTCACCCCGTTCCTGAAACATGCACCCTGCACTTTGCCCAGTTTCCCCAGCGAGCGCGGACCGAGGCCAGTACTCGGCTGGGCCCCACAGCAGGGTCCACTGTGCGCGTGCTTAGGTTTTCCTCCCTCGCCTGTGTTAACTGCCTTCCCACAAGTTCGTGTTTCATCTGAGTCTGATGCCTGCCTTTCATTTTATGTTGGCTGTTATTCAGAATGTGCGCAGTCATGATTTCGAATGGCATATTTCATCAATTTTAAAACATAGCATAGTATTAATAATGATGAGTCCTTTGTTTAAAAACGTGGTTGGGTTTCCTGCTCTCGGAGTGACTGGGATTTTGATGATAAATTTACCTTCATAATCGGAAGAAGGTCTTCTACCTTGTGCACCTTTTCCAGAGCTTCCCTGACTTCCAGCAGTCCTTTAGGGTTGTTTGCTCTGGTAGAGACAGAGACAGAGAGAGAGAGAGAGAGAGAGAGGGAGAGAGAAGGCAACTGGGATTATCACAGAAACAAGACATGTAATAATTCTGCTATTATCTCTAATTTACTAAATGATATTTCATTATGAGTATCTCGCTATTCAAAATGGTGAGCCATGACTAAACTCTCTAAATAATGGTACGAGTTCATCCTAATGAGGTCTGGGCTACAGATGAGAGTTAAGGAACCAGAGCTCCTCTCCGAGGCAACACGGAAACGAGTGACAGGCCACCAGCCAGTGCACACACATGCACGGTCCGGGCCGGCTGTAAAACTGACGCCCCAGTCCCAACTCTGCAGTCAGAAGCACGTGAGTTTCTCCCTGAAGCTGCTCAAACGGAAGAACCCCGCTGGGCCTCTGCCCCAACACTGCACGCGTCTGGTGACGTCCGAGCATTCGGAACATTTCCTGCTCACCGCCCCGCCTTGCCATGCCACCTGTCCACGGAGGGAGAGTGAGGACGGAGGCTGAAATCCCTAGTGGGAAAATTTGCAGAAACGTCTTGCTTTTCAGGAGACAGAGGCAGGAAAGTCACAGTGCACGTGTAAAGCTTAACACACTTTAGTCAAGGTCCGAGCACTTGTGACACTATCAAAAAGAAGGCTGGCAAGTGCATAAGAGAGGTTTTATGATGCTAAACGTATCGGATACTATCGAGCTTGTCTAGTCTGTCAACAGCCTTAGTTTTCAAGTTTTATAAACATAACGAATGTAAAACACATGCAACCCATCCACTGCTGTGAATGAGAGAAGCCAGAGGCTTACCCATGATAAACAAGAATTCGATCTTTGATAAAATGAAGTATTTTCTCAAAATATTCCAGGTATCTCATGTTAACCACTTGACCCCTGGAAGGCAAAAATAATAAGGTAAGGCTCTTTTTTAACAAAGGGATGTGTTCAAAACATCTCATTCCAGAGTTAATTTAAAATAATAGTAAGAGGGCTGAGAATAACGTAGCAAAAAAAAGGAGGAAAGCCTGGGCATCCCGTCTCAGGCCAGGACTAGAAAAAGCGAGAGCTGTCTTTTTAAAAATTATTATTGTTGATCTATTATTAAAACTTTTTAAAATTCACCAAAGAAAGACCGAGAAAGAGGGGAAATGAGAAAGCAAGTTACCAGGTTCCAGGCTCAAACTGCACTCGGCAGTCTCCCGGTGCACCTTCCGGAAACCCACCCCTCTTTTGCAGCCCACCCCACACAGCTCCCCAGACATGCACCGTTCATGGGACTGGCTGTGCAAACTCTGCCCTTGCCTCCACAGTTGCTGTCACCTCTCAAATATTTTTTTAAATAATTATTTATTTTTATTTTATTTGTTATTATTGTTATTTTAAATTTGACCAGAGAGAGAGAGACAGAGACAGTGAGAAAGCAAGTCACCAGGTCTGGGACTCGAACCCTGGTTAGCCATGTGGGAGTCCAGCACCTTAACCACTGCACTGCCTGCCGGCCCCATGTCACCACTCAAATCTATCCTGCCATCTGCTGCCAAAGCCATCATCCAATATGCAAATATCACTTCTTCACGTACACTTCGTGAATGGCTGGCCAGCCTTTAGGAAAAACAAATTTCTCAGTGTGGAATGTGAAGTTACTCAGGCTTCGGGCGTGGAATGTGAAGTTACTCAGGCTGGGGCGTCTGCCTCTCTCTAGCCTCAGCTCCCGGCCCCACAGCTGCACTCTGAGCCAGTCAGAAAGAGTTCGCCATACTTGCCTGGCCACGCCAGACTCACGTGGGCCCAGGACGGACTCCCGCCCGCCCTTTCCAGAGCTCAGGTGTACCCTGGAGGCTGGCTGGGGCACCCTACCTACTGTCACCATTACTCCTAGCACTGCACGTGGCAGCAGTACTGCACCTTTGTCACTCAGCTGGGAGGTTCTGAAGTCGAGGACTGACCTCACGTCCATGTCACCAGCACACAGCACAGCTCGCTAGGCCTCAGCTAGAGCCGGCTGCCAGGCCTACCTATCCGTGTCACTAATCAGCCTGTGAGAGACAGAACACGTGAGTGCCATGAGTCTGGCAAAAGCCACGACAGAGGGAGAAGAGAAAGCCTCCCTGTGGGACTGTCGCACTGCAATCCCTTCCCGTCTCCATTTCAGGGTTTTAGGCATGCACAGGGACCCAGGGCGCTTCCCAAGCCACCAGGTCCAGGACTTAAACTGTGCCATTGGCCATGTGGGCTCTGACTGCCATAACCAAGCCACAGAGCTGGCCCAAGGAATATATTTTCTAGAAATCAAAAAATATACATATAAATGATGTTCCCATTAAACCCCAACTTAATGTCAAAATTGTATGGAATAATATTTTCTTAATTCAGTTTCCTAAAACTAGAAGCATTTTAGATATGTCACGACTATGATATCTATAAATTTTCTCCCAAATTAAATTCATTAAATGACAGACTAAGAGCTGCATGGGGCCCAGAAGTAAAACACGATGCTCTGCAAGGCCATCCCACTCAGGAAGGTTTCTTGTTCAAGCCCAGAGAATGCCCTGAGGACACGGGGCACGCGTACCCGTGGTGTGCAGCTGCCTGTGGCTGGGGTGGATCACAGGGTCAGGGCGCTGTTTGGGGTGCTTCTCTCTCTCTCTCTCTGTCTCTCTTCTCGTGAAAGAAACAAATGGATAAACTTAAAAACAAATAAACGAAACAAAAAGCAGACTCATAATATGGTCACTTTAGCACTGACAGTTGTCATTTACTATGTTCTGTCATTTGTTAAAACCAGTGAGGCTTGTGAAGCGAGTGAAGAGGTGAGCATTTCCGGCACGCCCCTGGAAGGCAGCTCAGTGGGCAACAGTGTTGTTTGTTGATCTCTTTACGTGTCGGGGCCTTCTCCAGCCATGACAGGCTTGGTGAGTACTTTCTCTGAGCCCGTGCTCCTGTCAGGGTCTCCGCAGGAAACGTGATCGTCCCGCTGCTTCGCTCTGTGATCTTTCAGGACGCCTTTAAGACTGATCCCGGGCCCGAAACCCGACAGCCCCCTTGAGCGGCTCTGCACCAAGGATGAGGGCCTGGGGGGAAGCAGGCGGTGCACCACCTCCTTCTGCAACAGGACTTGCAGAAAGGAAGCGTGTTCTCATCACGGGGTCCCCAGGAGAGGAGCATGGGTCACTCATGGGCTCCATGGCCTGCTAATTCAGGCAAAGAGGAGGGTGCATGGAGGGTTCGTACCGGATTAAATTGATGTGGTTGTTGAAACCTCTGCTCAGACTTCGTGCTGGCATCTGGTCCAACCACAGCACAGGCTGGTCGGGGTCGGCGATCCTGGAAAACAGGGCTGAGCTGTTAAAGCGGGCTGAGCCTGATGAGCCTGATGAGGGCGGGAGCGCTGGCAACAACACAGCAAGAGTCTCGGCGAAAGCAGAGGCCCAGCCAGTCTCGTCCATCACTCCTAAAAACACGACAGCGAGACCTGCGGATCCCAAACGGCCGCTCCGAGTGGACTAAGTGAGCCAGGGAAGGGTTATGAGCAGAATATCTCCCTCATAAAAACCATTATCAAAGGCTCCTTCCTCTTCACGAGCTGGCTAGCCAGGTTCGCGTTAACTATAAACGGACCGGCTCACTGACATTCCTTCGGAGGCACCTGCAGTCGCAATCCGCTCTCGCCACGCACTGCTTGCTCTCAGAAACCGCCGTTTAAACAGGCATTTGGGGGCATGAGAACAATCGATTCCTATTGCCTAACGTTAGCTGCGTGTATTTCAAAGCACAAAGATGCCAGCAATTACCGACAGGGTAGGGAGGAAAACCTAACTTGCCATAGGGCGGGCGCCGCCACGCCCCAAGGGAGGAAAACCTAACTTAGAAGGCCTCTTGTTAGTAAGCAAAACAGGTTCAAAACCTGTTAGCTAGAGAAGACTCACGTTACTTTGCAACCATCTGACTTCTGGTTTATGTAAACATGGCTACCTTCTCCACTTGACCGCGATGTCAAACATGTCTCTCCACTGCATCAGCCGCGTTTTCCCATTCATCCGAACCTTCGAGTTGGCCCACGTCCGCTGTACGGCTTGCATGACTTCCAACGCCGCCAAACCCATAGCTACAAGAAAGGGATTGCGAGAACGCAGTTTATGAGTGCGCTTAGGATGCTTCCCCGGTCTGCAGTCTCAGCGATAACTCCGGGTTCTCACAGGAAGAACCATTAGTGCCGGGAGCAGAACAAGCCCCAGGCTACCTGTCATTCATGCGAAACTGCTAAGACCAAAACCTGTCAGAGGAGACCAGAGACACCCTGAAGCGTCTGCTCCCAACTCAGCCCCCTACGGAAGTGGCTGGAGGTTCAAATTCCCCCTCGCTCCTGTAGGACGAAGGTACCCCCGGATCAGCTGATGGAGCCACGGTAACGACTTCAGACCCGTACTCTAGTCAAGGCTGGGAGAGTCTTCTCTCAGAATTCAGCTCAATGAGTCTACACATCTCTGTCCCACTCACGTGGACAGTCTGAATAAGAGCAATAAGTCACGTCCTAAAAATGACAACAGGTTTAACCACTCTTGCTCTTCTGCCAGAAATTCTTCCACCTTCGAAGGCCCCAGAATACCTCTGTGTATCCTCTTGTTTGGGAGGAAACCGGGCGTCTCATACTGCATCAGTGACCCCAAGCGATCCGCCACACAGATCAACTCTTGGACCTCAGGCTTGTAACTCTCAAAATCCTGGTGTAACACATCTCTGGAAGAAACGTCACACACGATAAGGACTTGACAACATGTAATTACACCAGAGAAGCAAGCACTGCCTCCACTGGGACACTGGTCAAGAGATCGATGGCCACCTCACCCCACTTCAGCGCTCTGTACCCAACTGCACACAAAGGAAAAGGAGGACTCTGGAGAACGCACACGGTTGTGATCGCCATCTGGTGGTCACACCGAGAACTGGTGCAAGCAGGAGGCAGCCGCTACCACTATTTGCTTTGTGAACTTGTTCAGGACACAGCCCCGCAGGTACACAAGGCACTCTGTATACTAACAGAAGTATTTGCAGGTATAGAAATGCCAAAAAGAAATTCATCGGACACACAGGACAGGAAATAATTTACCGGCTGAGAAATATAATGAACTCATAGCTCAGCTTTTTTTTAATTGCCAGAGGGTGCATGCACTCATCAGAGAGAGACAGAGAAAGCACCCTAGGGGCATGGTCATGCAATCCTCTGGCTCCATCTCTTCGTCCCGTCAGGATTCTGGATGTGCACGTACACGCACCAGCATGCTTTTCAAGTCACCGGGGCCAGGTCTGAAGCCACCACCAGCCATGTAGGGGCTAGCTGCCCTTTTACCACTGCGCTGCAGGTCGGCCCGCAATTTAGTATGAAGAAACAGAAAAGAATCGTCTTCACTGAAAGCACTTACTTTATGTGTGGCTGCAGCCCAGGCTGCTCTTCGTAGTCTTCTATGAGGAAAGGCAGGTTTTTAGCCCAGTGGTCCTTAAAGCTTCCGGGCAGATCCGTGTCGATGTTGTACTCCGTGAGGGGGGTATCGAGATGAGCATGAAGATACCGCGAGTACTCTGCAGGCAGGGAACGATACACAACATACCAACACTGCTCAAGACATTCTCCTAGCTCCGCCGTACACGCACTGTGTAACAAATTGTCATTCAGTGACACGAATTCTACAAAGGAAAGTTTACATTTTAGTAAGTCACTCTTACTCGATAATAATAGGGGCCACTGCCACTGACTTGAGTAACTATGGTCGAATACAAGTCAGTTAGACTAGGTCTTCTTGGGCTGAATTTTACTACAGTCCCATGACTAACACCAAGGATCCCATGTTTTTCATTCTCCCCTAGGATTTTTTTTTTTTTTTAAGAGATTTTTGCTATAAGGTGCATGTGCTCGCTGGAGAGGCAGAGAGACAGAGAGGCAGAAAGAAATCGTTTCCTGGGGTGGATGGCCACACTGCAATCCCTTCTCCTCAAGTCTCCTCTTGAGATTTTGGGCACACACACACATGTGCCCAGCCTGAGTTTTAAGCCACCAGGTCTAGGACTTGAACCATGGTTGACTACATGAGAGTCCAGCGACATAACCATTATGCCATTTGCTGGTCCCAATCTCACGTTTTTCAATTCCAGAGCCGGAGAGCAACAGTTCAGTGTTAGAACCGGGGACTCTGCTGCCTGTGCGTGGATTAACCAGGAATACGATGGCACCCACTGGCTGCTACTTATCTCTCTCGTAGCAGCGTAGAAAAAACAAGATACAGAACGCTGCCCTGCCAATCTCTAACTCACAAGTTCAAATCCCACCAAACCAGGAAAGAAGAGGAACTGTACTTCAGTGCAAAGGTCCGTGCTGTCCAATAGGCAGCCTCAAGCTCCCAGTTACTCCTTCAAAACGAGGCACGGTGACTGAGAGACAAAATTCTAAATGTCATCTAACTTGAATGAAAGTTAAAAACCTGACACTTGGTTCAATTAGAAAAGCTCGGTATGTGTGGAACAAGCTGTGCGTTTGAATCTTTTTCAATTGTAAACTTTATGAAGTTCTAAAGATCAGATCAAGCACATGCCATGGAAATTTGGCTTCCAAGTGAGTTGTAAAATACACAGCAGATTTCAAAGACTTGGCATACAAAATAATGTAAACTGGTCAACACATGGTGTCTTTGTGTTAATATATATTGAGCTAATATCTTTGGATATAATGACTTAAATAAAATATATTATCAAAATCAATTCTACCTTTTAAAAACTTTTTTAAGGTACCAGCAGTTAGCGTAATGGCTATGTCAATGGACTCCCATGTAGTCGACAGCAGTTCAAGTCCTGGACCCAGTGGCTTAAAACTCACGCCGGGCACGTGTGCGTGTGTGCCCAAGATCCCGAGAGGAGAATGGAGGAGAAGGGACTGCAGCGTGGCCATCCCCCCTGCGGGGTGATTTCTCACTTTCTGTCTCTCTGTCTGCCTGGTGAGTGCACACTCCCGGTAGCAAAAAAAAAAAAAAAAACCCCCTCCAAAAAAAAAAAGCATTTAAAAAAATTAATTTATTTCTTCATGAGAGAGACCAAGAGAGGGGCGCCTCCGATAGGGCCTTCCTGCCGTGACCCTCCAGCAGCTGGGTCCTGGACACGAGCAGCCGGCGCATACGGGACATGACCCTGGGGCCTTTCTGTGTAGGGCCAGCTGTGTTACCACTGCGCCACCACCTGGCCCACTGTTTACTTTTTGACACGGCTGCTGTAAATTTAAAATGACATTCATGGCTTGCCACTTTTTCCGGTTTGGCTGTGATGTGCAGAAGAGGGCTACTGATAACAAAAGGAGAATATGAGAACGGAAATCTCCACCTGGGGCGGACACAGGTGAGTGACACAACCCATAAACGAGCATCTGAAGCATTTGCTGTCTTCCTCATCTCAGCTGAATCTCCCAAAATATACGAGGGTGTTTTTGGTTTTTGTTTTGTTTGCTATAGGGCATGTGCACCCCTCTAGGGGGTGACCACACCACGGTCCCTTCTCCTCCATCCTCCTCCTGGGACTTCAGACACACACGCACTCCTGCCTAATGCGTTTCTCAGGCCACGGGGTCTAGGACTAGGCCATGGAGTCACCCTGTGGGACCCAGCACCTTAACCACCATGCTACCTGCTGGCCCATAGATGAGGATTCTTATTTTTATAAATAATTATTTTTGTTATTTTAACTTTATTTATTTTAATTTGACCAGAGAGGGACAGAGTAAGTGAGATAAAGAGAGAGAGAAAGTGAGAAAGCAAGCCTCCAGGTCCGGGACTCAAACTGCAACTGGCCATGTGGGAGTCCAGTGCCTTTAACTGCCATGCCACCTGCTGGCCCCAAAAAATAATTTTTTTTTTTGAGAGAGTTTTTTTTTGCTTTTTGTTTTGTTTTTTGTTTTTTGCTAAAGGGTGTGTGTGCTCACTCACTGGAGAGACAGAAAGCAAGAAATCCATCCCCTCAGGGGGGGGATGGCCACACCACAATCCCTTACTCTCCTCTTGGGACTTTGGTCAGGCACGAACACACAACTGGTGTGAGTTCCGAGCTGCCAGGTCCAGGACCCAAACCATGTTGGCGACATGGGAGCCCAGCGACATAACCATTATGCCATCTGCTGGTGCCCTTATATGAGAATTCTGACATGAAGGAAGACAGATGAAGATGCCATGCTCACACTTAGGGGTGAACACGTCGAGGGCTATGCTGCTCTTCTGATGTTTGGATGAGGTACAGTAAGACACGGGCACCCCACACAATTGTCACACGTCGTTCAACGCGTGGTGTTCTTACTTTTCCATTTATTTATTTTTAAAAGAATTATTTTATTTGACTTTATTTATTTATTATTTATTTATTTATTTTAATTTGATCAGAGAGGGACAGAGTGAAAGAGAGAGAAAGGGAGGGAGGGAGGGAAAGTGAGAACACACGCTGTCAGGTCCGGGACTTGAACCGTGGTCAGCCATGTGGGAGTCCAGCATCCTTAACCACCATGCAACCTTCTGGCCCAACATAGTGTTTTAAAGACTCAAAATTTTTTTTAACTTTAGGAAAAAAATACTTGTAGAAGTGGTGAAAACAAAACCACAGACAGGCCTTTAGAAAACAGAGGTCCTAGTCCCAATACTGCCACTACGCAAGGGCGGCAGAGGACAAGTCGCCCAGCCTCTCTGCTACTCCGTGTCACATGAACAGCAGTCTAGCAGTGACTTCCACGGCTGTGAGCGTGAACATGCAAAGACCCCGCGAGCTGTGACTCACCTCGGAGGTACTTCACCTTCAGGTACTCCGGGCTAGCCTTCTGGCCGGGGAGAGGGTCGTTGAGCATAACCTTGGTCTGCGCTTTTATCCCCTCGTAAAACTGCCCCATCGCCACGTGGCTGAGCCCCTTCATGTACTGGCACACTTCGTCGTACGGCTCCAGCTGCAGACACCGCTGCGCGTTCAAGGACGAGACGCTGTGTCAGCAGCGGGGGCTCAGAGAACCGGGAACCGCTGTGCTCATAACCAGAGTGCGGAGCTGCCCTCCAGGTAAGCCAGACCAAGGACGTGCCCTGGAAATTAGACCTCGGGCGCGGCCAGGGCGTTTTCTTCTCACTGATGTGAAAACTCCACCCCAGGGCCTCCGCTAGTCATTTCACTGACGTCACTGAGGACTACCCCGCGGGCCCCAGGGATGTCACAGGGACTACCCCGCGGGTCCCAGAGATGTCACCGGGGACTACCCCGAGGGCCCCAGGGATGTCACCGGGGACTACCCCGAGGGCCCCAGGGATGTCAGGGGACTACCCCGCGGGCCCC